GCTCAGACACAAAAGAGACGAGAAGGAAGCAAGGCACTCTCTTCTCTTCCGGGTAGCTGCATGGAATAGTTGGGCTGTTTCTTCGGAGGAAGAGAACGTTCTCGTGGGGAAGCAGTCTTTATTATTAGTTCTTCTCTGTGTGTATAGTGTTTATAGGTTTTTTTCCCTCTATGTAAATATTAAACTGCCTTTTTTAGCAGGTTCTGTTTTGTAGTTTTTATTCATTTTTCCTCTTTCCTCCTCCCCTCTCCTCCAAGGAGAGGCTGGGCGCAAGCCCAGTGGATACCTGGCGTTCAGCCAAGGTAAACAATAACAGTTTTTTACTCTCTTATTTAACTTTGAACCAATACGAATAACATGTATCTATTCCATCCTTGTCTGACAGACATCAAACCATTTTATGCTTGATTTGGGAACTGTTTTTGAATGTGTGTGATCAATGTGAGAAACTATTACTACTGAATGAAAAAACTATCCAATTTATTTTGGGCTTTTCTGTTTAATGAAAAATGTACACATCACAAAATTGACTTAATTTTAGCTAATTTCGCTAGTTTTCGAAACCTAACTTTCAAAGGCATGTCTTGGTTGCTATTTTACTGATCAATCAAGTCAAACTACAATAAAGAGAGTCATTTATGCAGATCTACTGTTTTCATTTTGCAGGGTGCAATGGACTGAACAACCACACTAGCGAATCACTTCAGCTAATTTAGCAAGCAGAGCTACTGGAAAGGATACTGCATACTCATGGTTCACTTGCATTACCAAAAGGCAGCCATCAGCTGAAGGGATGTATTTGAAAAGGAGAAAAAAGATGTTCCAGCATGTAACACAGCCAGTATGAAGTATGAACAAAGCTGAGATTAACTCTCTTATGTTTGTTCCCTCTTTCTTTTTTTCCCTTTCCTTTTTTTTCTTTTGTGTTTTTGTTTGGGTTTTTTAGTAGATTTTTTTTTTATTTGTTTGTTTGTTTTTTAATCTCTGACACTTTCACACTGAAGGAAATTTGTCAGGAAGATGTTAATGTTGACTTTTTTCTGCTACTAAACATACAACCCTCATCTAATGGTGGAAAACCTCCACTCTCTTCAGTAGTTTACACACTATTTCCCAGAGGTAAGAGTGATGATTTCAAATTATGGCCCCTTAGCTCAGATTCAGGATCCATGGGATTTCATAACTTGCTTAGCAGTCTGTTACACACTCAGGCAAACTGTTCTCTGCTTCATGATTTTTTCATAAACAGTAACATGTAGGGGTTTTAAGCAGATTGAAAAATAGGGTAGTTATCTATTATCTGCAAAAATAATTTCCAGAACTCTAGGACATCCTGTTCTTCCTCTACGTACAGCCTTACTTTACTAGAAAGTGATGGTGAATTTGGAAGATGATAGGAAAAAGAATCATAACTGTCTTCTTGCCAAGCCTAGACCCAGCAAAATTCTATCTCTATTACTGCAGTACTTGTCAATATGTAAAATGAAATTCCAGAAAATACTGAATATTTTTAGGACCAGGATGGGTGAACTTAGCATAAAAGATTTTATAATTTCTTTTACAATTTGAAAATGTACCCTGATACAGGAAAATGAAATAAATGCACATGAATCTCAGATATCTAATTCAGGCACTTATTATTACTCTGCTTGAGTTCACTTGAATCAACATGACAATACCTAGACAGAAGGTATGTGAGTTATTATCAATCACTATGCTGTATGACAAACTCCAGTGGTGCAACAGACAGACTGCAACAAACAATAGTTGTATTCTGAGCAAGAGGCAAAGTCCATATTGCAGTATCTCTCTACCTGTTCTGCCTATGTGTTTCCATAATCTTGGTAGCCAAAATATACAACAGCTAATAAAACTGGGCTCTCTGCAGAAGCTCAACAGTTGGTAGTTTGGTCCTCAAGAAAAATAGGAGTGGTTTGTGGTTCTCCTCTCTACAGGTTTTGATCAGCAGTGCTGTATGGCAGCTCATGACGGAGAAGAGATAGATGAGGAGCTTCTCTTTCCAAGCTTTGTATCCAATAAAAAAAAATAGACAGGAAAACCAAAAGGCAAAATACTGTAGAATGATAAAATGGTAAAAATAATCTCTTCACACAATATATAATTAGTCTGGGAGTTCACTTTTAAATGAGTTGAGGCAAAACCCAGTAACATTTAAAGGGGGTTCTGACCTTTTGTGTAAATAACAATATTATCAAAAGTGATAAAGAGGTAACACAAATAAAGAGCATGATAAGTGTCATCCTTTGAGGTTTAACTACAAATTAACAATCTTTTATTTTCCTGGGGCTTATTCTGTCTCTGGAGTGACCCAGTGCTGCTTTCTGTCAGCATGGGATACCAGGACATAAAATTGACTTGGGCTGGCAACTCCCATCTGCTTATGTGACTGGTATATTTTTTATATCACTATCATTATGTCCTTAGCATAATCAGAACCAGTTGGTCTAATGAAATGTACTGTTAAACAGCCCTACCCTGAAATTTTTGCCATTTAAAACACTAGAAAACAGAATTTCTCACTAACACTTTCCATTCTTTCATTACAGCTGTGAAGGCCTAACACAAAACATGTTCCCAAAACAAACAACACAAGCACTAACATAACTTTGGCAAACAAAAGCTGGAAAGAAAACTGGTTTCCTTTATTTCACTATATTTATACTAACATATTTAAGAATGGGCAATTAGTCTTTGCATTTCTTCAAAGCAGATGCACTGGGCTCTCCCTATTCATGAGATGCTCTGAAAGTCACCTCATGCAGAACTAGAAGATACAAGGCATTATGAATGTTCCTTCCAGGATGAGAAATATTTAAGATTATTTTTTTCTAAAACATCTCATTGTGCTGCCTGTTTTCATTTGCCAGAAGTATCTAGTATCTTCCTTCATGCTGCAGTGAAATTATACAAAACAAATACATGAGATAAACTGTATGAAGAAGAAATTGTCCCATAGGGGTGGACATTTTGTTCTAGCCTTGCCAGGTTTGAAGTACTTGTGAACAGGCTTATTTGCAAACCTTGGACGAGTTTCTTTCCCCTCTCTGCCTTTTTCTTAGTAACTTAAAATCCTTGCTTAGCAGAAAAGTTCATCATTTAAACCTTTTACTTAATTAAAAATTGCACACGGACCAAGAAAAAGGAAAAACTATCACACATTTCATACAGTGTTAATTACAGGTCAAGTGTTATTACTTATGATATATTGCTATTGTCTACCAAAAGCCAAATTAGCCCCCTGCATCTAATTAACTCCCTGCATTCTGTCCTGTAAACAGTGGGTTTCCATGTCTGAATGGGCCATAGTTAGCAGTCGGTTTCTTAAGGCAGGAAGATTGCTTGTGTCCTAATGGGACAGTAGTAAGGTATTGTACGAAAAACATTTCTGTGTGATTTACAAGTTTGTTCCCTGTTTCACTGGTGCAGCTTCAGTCCTGAACAGCACAGGATTTAGAGGCCAGGAGGAGCGCTTTATACTCACATACTACTGAGGACTACGACTGCTACTGCTGCTGCTTGGAATCCAAGATCTGCCCTCTATGGAGACAGTTCTCAGTGAGGGAGCAGAGGTATAGTCAGAGAGCCCTTGTATTGCTTAGATTCCCCAGACCTCTTGATATGCCTGGGTTCATGTTTACATGAAAGTAACATCTTGAAGGTCACTTATTTTTTTAAATATGGAAAAGTATATACTGTGATTAGAATTAAGCTCTCGTCTCTGCAATTTCAGATTTTGAGGTGAATGCAGAATCACAATTTGCTATGAAACTAACAAGAAATAAGAATTCGCCCCCCACACTTTTTTTTTTAATCCATGGGAATGGAATAAGAAAGTACTGGTTTTCCACTCATTTCAGTACATGCCTTCGCCTGTCTTTTCTTCCCGTAGACTTTTGCACAGGGTCAACTCAATAAATGCTGGTACTAGGAGACCAAACTGTCCACAGATAAAGTTAAAATACACAATATTCAGTATTCTGATGCTACAGTTCAATGCCTCGCGCTGTTTCCTGTCTTCACTAAACAACATCATGTATTAAAATATTAGACATGGGAAATGACTTGGACTGTATGGCCACCCTTTGTTGTATTAACACCAGTTTTGTAAGCACATGAATGAAAATACAAAAGAAAGACATGGAAAATTGTATTACATTTTTTATACTACAATATATAAGGTATTAGAGATGGCAAGAAACCATAAATTTTGGGTCTGGAGTTTTCTGTCATATCCTTTATCAGAAATCTGTTAATATTTATCACATATACCATGTTTACTGCAGGTAAATTTTTTCCTAAAGTAGACAGAAAAAATATTTGCTAGAAATATTTTGCAGGTAAAACTTACATATACTGTAGAGTGGAAAAGACATCAAATGACTACTTCATGTTTGGTTGCAAGCTAGTAACTGGGGAGGAATAAAATCCCAGATGCCTGACTGCGTACCCAGACTTCACCTCTGTACCAGGCCATTTTACTTCTGCTTGTTGGAAGGGCTTTGCTGGTATGGAAGACTTCCTACCTGGAATTGAATATGTAAGGCATGCTCTGCACACTTGTCACCCTTTCTTATGCAGCTCAGGATGCCACATTTGACCAACGCAATGCTTTTATAGTCAGCGTGGTTGAGACAATGGGCTACTAAACCTAGTGAATTATCTGTTTCTGATACAAGTGCAGAAGTCTTACCACTTAAATGGTGAAAGTGTAAGGAGGTTTCAATTTCAGCAGCTGGCAGCTTTGCAAGCTGTCCAGGCCACTTTTTAATCTTTTGCTACATTTTAAAGGGTGTTGCCTTACCAAGCATGTTAGCTGCTTGCCTGAATTAAAAGACACCAGAATTTTTTGACACCAAGTTGGAAATTTCAATGTAGTTCAAGAACTCTACTGATTACTTCTATGGTCTGATACATACAAGTAGGCTGAATTTTCAAACCACCACACCCATCAATAAAATAAAAATCATTCAGTCACTTACTTGCTGCTCAGGCAGCGTCTCAGTGAATATGAAGCCCCTCCTCCACAAGTGCGTGAACATTCACTCCATGAGCCCCAGGCATCCCACAGTGAGTCTCGATCTTCCTCCGAGCAAGTTGTTCTGGAGCTCTGAGGAGAGGGAAAAGGAAAAAGAATCAGGAAAGAACATTTAAAGGTTAAAAAAATACTGCTGTTAGTTTAATGTTTTTGGCTTTTTTTTTTTTTAAGTAGTGTCATGGTTTGAAATCCCAAAATCCAATTTCTGATTCTTAGCCCCCCTCCCACATCTCAACTCAGTGTGAGATGGGTTTCCAGACAAAAACACAAGACTCAATATGGGGGGAAGGGAATTATATTACAATGACTGTACACATAAATAAATAGTATAATACATTACATACAATCTTAACTCTATCTCTGCCATGACATAAATATTTACAATGGGCCAAATCTCTTCTCCCTTCCAAATAAAAGTCCAGGAGGGAAGAAGAAGAAAAGACCCCTTCCAGTCTCTGAACAGCAGTTCTCTCTAGAGCAGCAGTGTCTCTCTCTGTGTCTTTCATGAAGCAGTTGTTGGCTGAATCCTTGCCAATACACACGAGGGAGTCTCCAAGTCTCTCTCGGCCCCCCGACGCAAACGAAGGGCCTTCCGTGGGCTGCGTTACCCCAGACAAAGGCTGCTCCACCACGGTCATATCAACAAAGTGCAGAAGCCTTTGTGACGGTCTGGTATCTTCAGGGGATTCAAGCCCTTTGCAGAGCTTCTGTGCTCTGCCTCAAGCTGGCTGCTAGCTTCTCTGAAGCTGCAGCGAGGGGGGGCCCAAGGTCACCCCACACACACACATTCCTTTGGCCATCCTGGCTTAGCTCTCAGGAGGCCTGAGCTTCTTGCTCCTCTCTCAGCAGTGCTGTAGCACTCTGAGGCTCTTCCATTTCCCTCCTCCTAGGAGGGGTCTCAAAGGAATTCGGGGGAAATTTTGGTTATTCAGTTCTTACCCCCGAAACTCTCTCTCTGTCTCTCTCCATCAGAGATCTCTGTGTCTTCCTGCTCGGCAGCTCTGCTGCTGCTTCTTATCTGCTTGGCTCTTTGCCACTGCTCCCGGACACTGCTGTCTCTGCTGCTGCTCCATCTGCCCACTCACGGTGGAGAAAACTCCTTCAGCTTCTCAAGTCACAGACCTCAGTCCAGTCTAACACTGTTTCCAAGTTTCTATGACCCCAGTTGGGGGCTGGGGGAGGGCAGAGCCCCCAAGGGGCCCTGAGCCCCTTCCTCATGGCTTTCACAACATGGTCACTCTTCTTCTAACAACAAGTACAACCTCTTCTTTTCCGGTCTAGAGATATGTTTATATTTTGCAGGAGCGCAGATTGGTTCAAATCTCAAGTGTCACCACCCCCTGGGGGTTACCACTTTCTTAGCTTCAGGGGGAAAACCTGGTTCAAACCACCACAATTACATATCATCCTAGTTATTGAAAGCACTGAATAAATTGAATAAACCTGTTCTTCTCTGACAAGCCAGTTCTTTAGTTGTGATTGGTGTATGAATTCACTTTCATCCCTTGAATATCCTACTTTGTCTCAGTTTGAAGCTAGTGAAGACCATTTTAAAGGAGCACTTTGGACAATAGTGAGACAAAGGATTTTTTCTCATTAAAAAAAAGAGTCAGAGTATTATAGACATCAGAAATTTTGCTCTGAAAATTGTGCTGCTGTGTTAGAAACTATGAAAGGGCATATTGAAAGATGCCTTCCAAGATGGTCTTAATTGAAAATTGAAACACACCGAAGTGAATCAACATGATACAAAGGCATTCAACATAATCACTTTCACGCACTCACCATAAGGAATTGGAACTATCATTACTTTCTCTCTGCCTGAAGATCTCCTATAAAACTTGCTGGACTAAGGTCCCTAACTGTTTTATCCCTAGTATTTGAGAGCTTAAAAAAGAAAGCACACGTTAACTGAAGAGCTGGAGTTAACCAATGTCAGGCACAGACCCAGGCAGTGCTACTGTTAATGTCAGTGGTTGTGCACAAAGAACCGTATAAAGAAGCAGCACTGATGGACTCAGAAATAACTCAGCTCTTTGAGAGTTACGTCATAAATGTACAGCAATACCTGCCTCAAGTACAGCAGTTATACCTGTATTCAGCATTTCATTTTCATTCATGCAAGTGCACCTAAAAACCATAGATTCATATGGACACAAATGATTTAACCATTTAGACAGATATTGTTCCTCATGGTCAATGTGGTTTTGCTGAAGGAAACTGAATAACCTTGCACAAGTGTGTGTGAAATTGCTATGACCGATGGAGACCAGGCAGTATTCTCCTTCAAAGCTTGATTTGTGCTGTGGGACGGTACTAGTGAATAGCATTTCTAACTGTATTTGAAATAAATAAGAAGGCAAAACAACTACACGAGGGAGATTTAAATGGTTCACCTTCAACAGAGAAACATCAGCAAGCATCACAGCTAGCCCATGTTACATGAATCAACTTCAGCTTTCATAGAACCATCAAATATGCTGAGTTGGAAGAGAATCATCAGGATAATTGAGTCCAACTCCTGGCCCTGTGCAGGACAGCCCAAGAGTCACACCATGTGCCTGAAAAGTATCATTCAAATGCTTTGTGAACTCAGACGGGCTTGGAACTGGGACCACTTCCCTGGAGAGCCCATTCCAGTGTTCAACCAACCTCTGCATGAAAAACATTTTCCTGATATCCAATTTAAACCTCCCCTGACTCAGTTTCATGCGGTTTTCTTGAGTCCTGTCACTGGTCACCACAGAGAAGAGACCAGTGCCTGTCCCTCTGCTTCCCCCATGAGATAGCTGTAGACCACAATGAGGTCTCCCCTCAGTCTCGTCTCCAGGTTGACCAAACCAGGTGACCTCAGCCATACCTCAAATGGCTTCCCCTCAAGTCCCTTCACCATCTTGGTTGCCCTCCTTTCAACACACTCTAATTGCTTAGTATCTTTCCTCTATTGCAGTGTCCAAAACTGCACAAAATATTCAAGGTGAGGTCTCACCAGTGCAGAGCAGAGCAGGACAATCCCCTCCAGCTGGCGATGTTTTGCCTGATGCCCCGTAGGACAGGACTGGCCCTCCTGGCTGCCAGGGCACTGCTGACTCAAATTCAACTTGCCATGGACCAGAGCCTCTTGGTTGATGGCAACCTAATGGATTATTTGAGACACAGTGATAGCTCAACACTGAAATAATTTTACCTTCAGTGAAGCTATGCAGAAGTTTGGTAATGAAATACAGCAGAATACACTGGTCTTGAATACCGTTATTTGTAAGCAAAACCAGAACATTATTTTGTCTGTGAGAGATGATACTGGATTTGTCTAATGCGTGTAAAAAAATTATTTGACATTCTCATTTTATCTTACCTTTATTAAAATGCAAGAAGTTTTGATTTCAACATAAGAATTACAAGGGTAAATGTAAAAACTAAAGTTACATAAGTCATCAAATTCCAACTATGGGCAGATGTGAACCAGTCTCTAGATCTCATTAACATGAGATAGGAGAAGACACAATAATTTACTAAGGTTATTTCACCTGACTGCTTTGTGAAGGGTAGTTTTTATAAAATGCAAATGTGTGCTTGCACTTTTAGTCTCTTAAAGAGAAAATACATGTCTGTGCTTCAAACTGCAGATAGGTGCATGTCTTGATCATTCACCACCAGTTGAAAGTCTAAAGACATAATTAAAAAGGGTTGCAAGGTAAAGTTCATGTGAACCAATTACTCTTACCTCACCATAAATTATAAGCATCAGCATACCTAGACATTGAAAGGGTTCAAATTTTTCTGACATAAATTGTAATCTCACCCAGAGGAGATCCATGAGCCTGTTACTTGCATTCCAAGATTTGTTATAAGACCTATATATTCCCAGAAAACATGTGATCTCCAACTGGAACAGGCTCCAAGTTTTCTTTCAACGAGTGAAGTAACCGTAATTCATTTCAACTCCATCCACATTTAATGTTAAAGAAAGTAGAGTCGTTTTGCCTCCTACTATATGGTTAAGGCTGAGCTTGAAATTCTAGTAATGCCTGACAAGTCATTTTTCATCCGAAAACCATTGTCCATTACAGGTCTATTCCAGCTTCAAAGGATATATAGAAATTACTAGCTAAGAATTTCCTGTTAAGCACAGATTTCTTCAAAAGTAGCTTATAAGGGTAGTTAGTAACTTCTACCCACTTTCAGCAAAATGAACTGAACTTAAAATCTTACATTAAAGTGACAGTCGAGTTCTACAATGCAAGAATTCCTACAGTATTCCTTTGAAGTTTCAAAGTTCCTGTCATAACAAGTAAACAGAAGCAAAAAGAAAGGGAGAAAAAAAGTAAAGGGGGGTACATGCCCCTAAAGCTGCAAGGAGTAAAGCTGCCACCACTTAAAGCCTTTAAGTCTTACTTTAAGTAACACACCCCTCTTAGAAAAAGTCCATTACCTCTGCCAGAGGTACCCCAGACTGGTGCTTCTCAAAACGCCAGTGTATGTCAAAGATGTAAAATGCAGTTATCAAGATTCATTATGCCCTGCTGCTGCTACCAGAAGACCTGCCTTATCCCTTCTGTCCATTCTAGGGTGGATCTCAGCCTCAGCTTCCCAGGAAACACCCACTGTTTTGTCCGCACAAAACTCAGGATATCCTGACATCAAAAGCATCAAGTCAGAAATGTCACCTGCAATCAATGACCTACATAAAACAAATAAATCTGCTAATACTAATAAAAACCAGCTCTTTCTTAGTACCTTATTATCTTAATACACACTTAATCTGATAGTGGTTTTGCAGCTACCATGCAACCCCTCAGCTAAAGTGGGAATGGGCAGCAGAACTCCCAAAGAATAGCCTAATGAGAAAGAAGACAAACACTTTGTGCTATTGGACCAGAAAGCAAAAAGGATCATGTGTCAAAAATGAAATCACTGGAAACAGGGTACTCAGGTGAAGACGCTTAAGAAGTAAAAAAAAAAAAGTCTTTTAACTACAAGTTGAATAAAGGACTTCTTATAATACTGTAGTGGGTTGACCCTGGCCAGATACCAGGTACCCACTAAAGCCGCTCTTCTCACTCTCTCTCTGC